AGCCTAACTGCCTCTCACTGGTTGTGTGAACTGTGGCAAGTAGCTCAGCCTCTCTGGGCCTCGGTTTACACATTTGTCAATGGCATCTCATGAGTGGTAGGGAGGATTCAATGGGATAGAATAGGTCAAGTGTATTAAGTGGCGCTCAGCCCATAGGGTCTGGGAAATGCCAGTCCCTTTCCTATCCCTCTGTTGAGCCCCTGGTAACTCAGGTGGGTACATGCTGAAAGTCTTAGGAAATAAATTTGAGGTTAGAAATAAACACACACTGATACCTTAGCAATTGTAGCATGCGCAAAACATCTCCTGCAGTGCACTTTTTCCCACAATGTTGCCCCCCATCCCGCCCCTATCCTGGTTTTGCCCATTCCACAGTGGGGCCCTGGAATCTGCAAATTTAATCAGCTGCCTGGCAGATTCTGAGGCAGTGGTGCAAGGACCACACTCAGAGAAAAGCTGCCTCCTTCATCTATTCCAAAAGCATTTCTATGGACCTACTATGTGTTCGGCAGTTTTCTAGACTCTAGGGATATAGTGGGACTCAAAGGCAGACACGGTTCCTGCTCTCCTGTAACTTCTATTCTAACGGCAGAATTGGGCAATGAACAAATGCAGATAACACACCATAAAATCAGGCAATGATCTTAAGAGCTATGAAGAAAAAGACAGTGGAGCAAGAAGATGGAGAGAGGTATTCTAGTTGGTGGCCAGGACAGGACTCTCTAAGGAGGTGACATTTGAATGTAGACATAAATGAGATTAGGCATCAAGCATGCAGATACCCGAGGGAAGAACATTCCAGATTCAGAGAATGGCAAGGGCAAAGGGCCTGAGGTGGGAGCAAGCTTGCTTCACTTTTCAAAGGACAGATTGCATTAGGATCTAGACCTATTAGACTGATTCCCCCTCCCTGCCGGGTGTGAGCTTTGTTCTCCAACTAGACCAGATCTAGGCAATAGGCAAAGGGCATTGTCCAGCCCAGTGATACCTCTCCCTTTTTTTCTGATAGACCATCTAAAACATTCTTTAAGAATATCTTGGTCATCTTACTGATTAGCCAGTTTTACTATGCTGTTCATCAGTGTGGCCCCTGCAGCCAGCACAGTGCAGCACACCTCACCACTTCTCAGACATTTAAAAACCCCAAGAAAACACAGACGGTGACTTGAAAAGAGTCGGCGGCCTTACCTCTTAACACAAATCCTGCGGTCCTTTCTGTTTCACTGTAACTATCTGAAGCTGCACAAGTTTGGATTCCACAATCCCCCAGGTTTCTTCTGGGACCTTAAGAACAGGTTTTGTGTGAGAAGCTGTTGAATTTTGTTCTGGACATATCAAGTGTGTGGGGCAAGCAGGATGCCCCTGGAAATGAGGAAGCTCTTTGGGCATTACCATGTGAGCTCTGTCTGCCAAGATAGAGCCACATCTATCTTGTTGGCTTTCTCCTGTCTCTTTGGAACTTGGCACAGTAAATTAAGGCATTGATGAGTTGGCTGTGGGAGCTAGAAGAGAAGAGGCCTGAACACAGACTCCTGAGGGCTCTCCCAGATGTCAGGGATAGTGGAAGGAAAAGGTGCAGATGGAGAGGATGCCAGAGAGTGGGAATGCCATGGAACTTTAGGCAGCCAAGACAGATCCAGGAAGGAAGGGACAGTTATCAGGTTCAGTGCAGAGGCCTGCTGAGGAGAGCCAGTGGCATCTGGCCCTTAGTGACTCTCAAATGATCTTAGCTAGAGCAGGAAGAGAGACTGGAGGGGAGGCTGATATCAGAGGCCAGACTGCTGTGGGATGAGGATTAAATGGAAGGTGAAATGTGAGGTTGATCTAGGCCAGTTATTAAGGAGTATGCTGTGTACTTCCAATTGCATTGCATTAAAAGGCACCAAATAACTAGTTGTCTTCTCTTTAAGATACTAAGGTTGATCATTGGGTTCAGGTGGCTGTAGCTAGGTCCATTTATTAAGTTTCTGATCATTGCTAAATTCTAATGTCTTATCAAAAGATACACCATGACGTGTATTAGATGATTTTTCTAATTCTATTAGCCTTTCTACATTATTGTTTGAAATATTCTATAAAATAGAACATTGCCTTCATCAACTACTTGGTTACCTATAAATGCATTTGTACACAAAAAAGTGAGAGTAAGTGCTTTCCCTTTATTTGCTAGTTTTCAGAATAATAAGTTGGTGGCCTAGTATCTCCAAAGGTGTCCAAAGAGGCTGTTTTTGTTTGCTGAAATGTCATTATGAACTTACAGATTGCTTTATGTGTTTGATGTGTTTTAGCCATGGCCCTCATTAAAATTTTTTTAACAGTTTTACTTAGGTATTAATTGACATACACTAAACTTCGCGTAGCTAAAGCTTAGAGTTTGAGGAATTTAACATGTATACACCCATGAAACCATCATCACTATCAATAGAGTGAATGTCTCCATCACCCCTTAAGGCTTCCATGCATTCCTCTCTTCCTTTCTCCCCAGGCAGCTGACAATCTGCTATCACCCTAGACTAGTTTATACTTGTCTAAAGTTTTCTGTTTTCAAAAAGAAGCAATAGAAGGTATAACCAAAAGCTAGGGCAGCCCCGGTGGCGCAGCGGTTTAGCGCCGCCTGTAGCCCGAAGCATGGTCCTGGAGACCTGGGATCGAGTCCCACGTTGGGCTCCCTGCATGGTGCCTGCTTCTCCCTCTGCCTGTGTCTCTGCCTCTCTCTCTAGCTGTATCTGTATGAATAAATAAATAAAATCTTAAAAATAAATAAAATAAACCTTTAAAAAAAAGCTAACGCAAATGGTTACTTTTATTTTTAGGAGATGCATAAAAATATTAAATATTTAGGGATAAATTTGACAAAAGAAGTTCAAGACCAATATATTGAAAATCATACACTGCTGAGAATTTTATATAGATGGACTCATACCATATGCACCCTAGTTTGTCTTTCATTCAGCATAATTATTTTGAGAATCATCCACGTTGTTGCTTATGTCAATACTTTGTTGCTTTTTATTGCTGAGTGATTGTATGGTTATGCTGTAATTTGTCTATCTGTGTGCCCGTTGATGGGTGACTGTGGCTGTTACAAATTCTTTGGCTATTACCTCACAGATTTGAAGATGTAAGCAAGGGTGTAAATTTGTTTTTAACACTACCCTCTCCACAAAACATATTAATAAATTTAATAGAAGCCAGTGTCCTGCAGTTTGCTTTTTTCTGTTACTGTATAGAGACCTTCCTCATTCCCCTTTATAGCTATATCATCCTCTACTTCATGGATGGTCTGTAGTTTATTAACTGGTCCCCTTGGATGCACATTTAGATGGCACCCAGTTGTTTGCTATTATAGCCGGTGCTGTGACGAATAGCCCGCACATACGTCATTTTGTATTTTCATCTGGAATTTGCCAAATGCCATTAATGGGCCTGCATGATCCACAGGAGGTTGAAGAACAGATCTGACTCATCTCAGTCTAGTAGGGATGGAGGACCCTGCAATCATCTTGGGGTGCTGGGCCAGGAGTGTATATGCCCACATTGCCTGGGGAGGTCAGAGAGGCTGCCTCAGGAGGGGCTTTCTGGAAGCTCTTCTTCCTCTTTGGCCAGACTTGGTGGCTTCTGTGGGAAGGAGGAGAGGGGTAAAGACCAGGACTCTGTGGTCAGAAAAGGCATTCTGGGATGGGGAAGGTCACTGTGGAGGCAACTGAAGCTGAGAGCACACCCTATAGATAGAGATTTAGGGAGCGAGCCACAGGGATGGGATAGAGAGGGAAAACCATGCATGTGGTAGTGCTGCGTGCATGGAGAGTCATCACCCAGACCTCCACTCCTCCAGCTCCCCGTCTGTCTCCCTGTTTCAGGTAGGTATGTGGCACAGTGGTTAGAACATATGTCCTGAAGCTAGACTGCAGGTGTTTGAGTCCTGGTCCTGCATCTTGGGGCAAGTGAAATAGGAGGAAGGTTGGGATCTACTGCACAGGTTGTAAACAAGATGTGTGCTATGTTTTGAGTGTATGGCTGGGTGCACAGGGGTCCCTCACAATGGGGACACCTGCAGTGTAGCTGTGCTGGTCATTATTCACCCTCTAAGCTCCTCTGTCTGGGCTGGAGAGGGAGACAGACTTTTTTTCCTTTCTTTTGGCAGAGGGAGGATTGGTGTTGGCTCATATTAGTGGTTCGAACATCAAGAACAGGATTCAGGGAGCTGTGAAAGTGATTCCAGGGCTCCATAGAACTGGTGCTTGTAGGATTCTCGCTCTGCCCATGCTTGGCTCTGATGTGTTCTGATTTACCTCTGTGTGCCCTCCAGCATCCATGCACATGTGCACACGTGCGCACATGCACACACACACGCCCAAATAGTTTTCAGTAAGGTGGAAGAAATGAGTAGGTGAACAAGCACACTTTTCACCTAACTCCCTGGTACTTGGCACTGAAGGATCTGACAGGCTGGTGGGCAGGGGTGCACAGGCCAAAGCACCAACTAAAAGCCTCACTGGCTATTTTTGGGACGAATGACCCACCACTTCCAATGACTTGCTCCTAAATGGCGTCTAATTTCATTAAGCCTTGGAAACAGTGACATCACAAGCGCCTGCCTGGTAGCCGCCCACATATGGCGAACCACAGAGTGATCTGAGATTCATCTGCAAGAGCAGGGGAGAAGTGAGGTCCCGAGCAGCAAAAGTTAAAATAGCAAAGCTGAGGCATTCTGCTATGAAAAGAAATTACAGAAGAAATCCATTAGTCAGAGATTTCCAGCGGCAATTTCCTTGCTTGGGAGCAGGAGAAGACTTATGCATGTTTATTTTGGGTGAGGTTATGCAGCCATTTCTCACTCAGTAGGCTGGATGTGGCATGAAAAATGAATTTCTGTTAAGGAAATCCTGTATTCTCATTGACTTCTAGTACTAACGTTGATGTATGTTTTATCTTAAGGTAAAGTGAGCTAGGGGCACAGATTCAGCACATTTGATTAAAATAGTGATACTTGTACTTACCTGACCATCATAGTAAGCCACAAGTCCAAGTAGACTTCTCTTCTCTGTGGATCCCTTTGTCCAGATCTCTCCAAGTGAGATCTTCCTTCTCAGGCATAGAGCAGAAGAGAGAGGGAAAGACTGCTTAATCCAGATTCCTGGTCTCTGTGGGGGCAATTGAGGCCATGACCATGACTTCACCCAGCGGGAGCAGAAGCAACTGGCCACCTTTCAGACAGAACACAGACTCAGTGGGAAAATGAGCTTCCCACATGCGAAGTTTTGCTCTGCATACAACACAGTTTCTCAACTTAAGTTCTCTGAACATTTGGGGCCAGTAATCCTTTGTTGTGGGGGACTGTCCCGTGCATTGTAGGATTGTCAGACGCATTAGCTTCGCTGGCCATAACCTGCTAGATACCAGTAACATCCTTACTCCCCTGGGTGACAACCAAATGTCTCTGGGGGCAGGGGGCAGGGGTGCAAAATTGCCCCTGGTTGAGAACCACTAGCATATGACTTTTCAAGAGCATGAGAAATAACAAGGATTTCATAAGTTTTTTATTGGCTTGTTTTTGTTTTAACTATTCTGAGTTTAATTATACCTTGAACTGGACAAGTCACTCTTCTTCTTGAGGCTTTGATTTTCCCATCCATAAAATGAATGGGTTGGATATAGTGATCTCAGTGTTTCTTCTAGACCTGACAGTGGACAGTGTTGAAGGCAAGGCCTGTGGGGTCTCTGTGTATGCATCCTGTCCTAGCAGGTAATAAACCTCTTGCCCACCTAGCTCCAGTCACTGGCTCCCATTCTCCTGGCACTTGGCATAGATAGTCAGCCTTCCTTAACTCTAGCTGATGGTTCTCTTACTTTGTCCCCCTTTTCAAAGGAAAATTTCTCAATTTCCAGTACAAAGAACCCCTGAGGACCCAGCTTCTCCACTATCCATTTCATCTTAATCTTGTTAAGACCAGCCAGTAGATCTTATCTTTGCAGATTGATTGAAGTCAGTTCCCCAAGGGCCTGGATGGGACAGGGCTGGTCAGCAAGAGGGTCCAGGTCCTGCCTTTGAGAAAATCAGTAGTGGGAGGGCAGGAAAAGAGCAGTTTTTTGTTTGACAACAATAAAGAATCCACCTTTTAGCTTTTTCTGTTTGAGGCTAACCAATTCCAGTTCTTTAACCTTTTTGCCTAAGATGTATTTTCCACTGAAGTGGTCTTGGTTTGTCCCCACATTGTTGGGAAAAGCAGCAAGAATGTAAATCAGGCCTGGATTCAGATGCCTGCTGTGGCACTTCATAGGTGTGTGAGCTTAGCCAAACCACCAGCCTCTCTAAGCCTCATCTATAAAATGGAATAAAAGCCCCTAACTTGAAGCCTGGCCAAGAGAATTGAGTGAGAACATGCCAGCCACAGGCACAGCATGGGCTGAGCACACACTAGATACATAGTAAGAATCCCTTCCCCCTCCTCTACTCCCTTTACCCTTTCCTCCATTCTCATGGCAGTGGGTGGCCACAGCTAATCGCATCACCACATCACCGCAATGAGGGATTGACTAATGTAAGCCAGAGAGGACGGCTCACTTCCCAGCCTGTCACATGCCTGGGTTCTCACCAGCCTTCCTGTGGCCCATTTTCTTAGTGACATTAACTGCTGACTCACTTGGCTTATGGTCAGCTCTGAACCCAGGGTCTTTTTCAGTTTACCCCACCACCGCTCCCCAGCTTAGATTTATGGCACAGAATGGGATAATTATTAGAGAACATTTTGTTTAGGTGGCCCTTCTCAAGGAGTCAAAAGCATTACTAGACTGGCAACTTCATGAAGGCAAGGCCCATGTCTACCTTGACTACTTCCATTTTCCAACATCTAGAATATGGCCAGGAAGTACTTAGTAAATATCTGTTAAATGAATTAATGTATTTGGAGCTGCTCCCTATCTTCCAGGAGATTCCTATCTGCTCTAGGGCAGTATCTGTAGAAGTAGCAAAACCTTAAGATTTTAACTTACTAAGTGAGCTCTATACTGATTCCCACAAGTACAGAGCAGTAGAAGGACCATGACCTATGACTCAGACTTCAGTTTGAATCCCAGCTCTACTAGTCATGGGCTTGGTGACCTTGAGCAAGTTGCTTATAGCTTAGCCTTAGTCTTCTCCATGGAAAACTGAGGTATCAGTGTCTGCCAGGGTTATCATAAGAATTCAAGGTGAATATGTATATGTAAAAGTGCCCAGCACAAGCTGGCGGTGATCTTGGTTTCACATCAGTGACTCTTTCCAGAACACCTCTTTCCTTTGGTCACCATTGCCTCCTGTAGTTTGGTCCAAGTCTACCCTCCCCTCTTAGACCTTTGCTCACTCAGCCTTCACCCCCTCACCCACCCTTCCTGCTCCCAACAAAAACATACTCTTGACACCCAGCACAGTCAGCAAACATTTGTTAAGCCAGCACCTCAAAATCAGATGCCTACAGGGACCAGGTATGTGTGAAGAAAGCAGGCTGTGCGAGGTTTTTATGTGAAATCTCCCCCCTTAAATTGTTTTTCTTAAATTCCATTAAACTAAAAAACTTTTTTTAAAAAAGATTTTATTTATTTATTCATGACTGACACAGAGAGAGAGAGAAGTAGGCTCCATGCGGGGAGCCCAACGTGGGACTTAATCCGGGGGTCTCCAGGATCACACCCTGGTATGAAGGCAGCACCAAACCACCGGGCCACCGGGGCTGCCCTAAAAAACTTTTTTACCTTTTTATCTTGCCATAATTTCTAGCTTACAAAAAAATTTACAAAATTAATGCAGAGTCTTCCCATATGCCCTTTACCAAAGCTTCCCCAAATGTTATTACCCCATCTCACGTAACCAAAATACCATTATCAAAACCAGGAAGATAACACTATACAGTAGTAGTAACTGATACCATGGATCCTATTCGAATCCTAGCCATTGTCCCACTGATGTCCTTTTTCTTGTCCAGGATTTAGTTGTCATGTCTCTAGTCTCCTCCAATTTTGGAAAGTTCTTTAGCCTTTACTTGCCTTCATGACCTTGATGCTTTTAACAAGTGCTGGCTAGTCATGAATCCTCAGTTTGGGTTTGTGTGTTGCTTTCTCATGATTCATTTGAGGTTGCACATTCTTAGCAAGATCCCCACAGGGGTTTACAATGTGCCCTCCCCAGTCTGTCAGATCAGGAGGCACATGATATGTCTCCTTACCAGCGACACTCACTTTGGTCACTTGGTTAAGATGATGTCAAGTTTCTCAACTGTAAAGCTACTCTTTTTCCCTTTGTAATTAATATGGCTTTTGTGGGTAGGTGCTTTGAAGGCATATAAATATCCTTTTCCTTATCAAACTTTTGATTTATTCATTTCTTTATATAGATTTGTGGCTTCCTGTTTTATCCAATGGGTTATTATCTATTCCTGTGATTACTGACTGTAACGTTCACCTTGCCCTTTCTTTGGCTTGTGTCCCCATCATTCTTTGAACACTTTCTTGCTTTCTGACATAAGATACTTCAAGCTCATCTTGTGTTTTCTTTGCCTAGCCCTGGAATCAGCCATTTCTCTGAGGGAAGAATATTTAGAAGCCAACATTTAAGAACCAGATGCAATCTGCTATCTGGCTGTCACTGTTCCTGGGCCTTCTCTATGGAATGAGCTAGGAAATACATGTGAATATGATGTGTATTTCTGTATTTGTGTACATTGAAAATCATGAATTCACAGTGAAACCTCCATTTCCACTCTAGCACCACAGAGTTTATTCTATGTACCTCCAGTTCCCAACAGTGAGACACCTGGCTCCCATCCTCACTGTATTTACATATTCACATTAGTGCCTCTCCCCCATCCCCACCCCGGGATCACTGCCAGTTCTCCCCTCTTCACCCTTACTGGGTTCTGACACTGCCCCAAGCCACCCCCACCCCACCTCCTCACCTTGAGTGGCCTCTGAAACTCCCAGTTTGGGAATGATGGCTTATATAGTTTATAAACTGTGAGGCCCTTCTTAACCCGGAGGGGGAAGCTGGATTGAAAGCCCCTCCCACCCCTCTGGCGCGGGTCCTCCAGCTGGTCCCAGCACTGCGTTCTCTCTCTCTCTCTCTCTCTCTCTCTCTCTCTCTCTCTCTCTCTCTCTCTCTCTCTCTCGTCATCTCTGCTCCAGCACGTCAAGTTCAGGTCCTCTTTCCTGACCTCTACTTTTGCTGTTCTCCCTTCCCGGACTACTCTCTGCCTCCACTCACTCTTCCTCTGTTCCTCCTGTTCTGTTCAGACATCACCTGCTGCCAGAAGCTTTGCGCATCACCCCAGGTGCCCTTCCATTTCCTTGTTTATTGATGAACTATAGGCACATGGGGCCAAGCACCAAATTTTATACCTGAATTCCCGGTGCCTAAAAGAGGACTTAGTAGGTGCTTGTAAATGTTAGATGAATATTAATAATAGTAACTGCAAATATTATTATAATACTTCCTGGGAGCTAAACATAGTCCTAAGTGCTTTATATGTATGGAGCCACTTGGTCCTCACTGCTATGCTGCGAGGTAGTATCGTTGCCCACACTTTACAGCCAAAGGAACTGAGGCACAGAGAGGTTATGTCAGTAATGTGCCCAAGGTTGCACAGTGTGGCGTCACATTTGAGCCCAGGTTGGCTAATTCTACAGTTCACACATGTTCTTACCTCTCCTGTGCCTAAAGGGGTCAGCATTCTCAGAATGGGAGAGGTGAGTAGGTCTGGATAATTGAGTCATATGGACCCCTCCCTCTCGACCACACTCCCAGCCCCAGTTTCTAGTGCCCCTTCAGGGCCCAAGAACAGATAAGTGGTAGCTGAGCAGGCAGGAGGGAAAGTGTTACCTTTTAACTTGGCAACCCCAGGAATTATCTTCTCCCCTGAGGTGTTAGGAAACCCAGCACGTTTCACATGCAATTAGGGTGAACGCATGGTAGTCAAATATCAGATCTTACGCAAGATTCCAAGTCATTGCGTTGAGGTTAGCAGGGTGCTGACAGCTTTTCCTAGTCACTGAAGGGGAACCACATGCCAACTACTGGTCACACCTAAGGGCTGAAGCAGCCGGCCTCTTCACCATTCCAAGTCCTGCCTGAGAGCTGAGGAACACCATGTGGACGTAGAGCTCTGTTGATAGAACTCCGCTTTGTGAGAACTGTCTGCTCAAGTTCAAGTGACAGGAAGGAAGCCAAGTGTGTGAGGCGCCTCCTCTGTGAATGCTTTGTAAATCCACCACAGACATTTATTTCCATTACTCCTCTCAGTGGCCTGGCAGGAGCGGCGAAACCTAAAGTCACATAGCAAGGAAGACCAGCTCAAGATTTGAACCCAGGGTGGTCTGATTCCAAGGCCTTAAATCTTTTTTTTTTTTTTAAGATTTTATTTATTTATTCATGAGAAGCACAGACAAAGGCAGAAACATAGTCAGAGGGAAAAGCAGGCTCCCTGCGGGAAGCCGAATGCAACACTCCATCCCAGAACCCTAGGATCACGACCTGAGCCAAAGGCAGACACTCAACCACTGAGCCACGCAGTGCCCCTTAACTCTTAATTGAATAGCTGGCCAGCATTACACCATGTTTGTCTGCCTCCCAAACCCCAAATTCTTCTGCTGCCCCCAGGATCCTCGTTTGCTCTGATGGGACCCATATGAAAGAAAGGAATCTGCTCTGTATGTGGGGAGGAAAGTTGTGTTAGATGGGAGCCAGAGCTATAGTCATCACAAGCTAATTCTGAGACGAGGCAGGATTTTATGTTAATTTCATGCCTTGGAGTGAAGAAGAATCTTTGCAAGCAGGCTGCAGGAGCTGGGGCAGGGGGGAGTGGAAACAGAAGGGGGAGAGGGAGGCAGGAAAGGGAAGAGGGGGAGGAGAGGTGACGCTGGGCAGGAATGCAGTGCCGTCATGGAACTCAGGAAGGACTGTGCGTTTCCCTATTTCCTTCATCAGAGAAGCCCAAGACTTGGGTTCCGTTCATTCCACAAGTGCTTACTGAGTTCTGCTATGCACCAGGACAAAACCTAACAAGGTCCCTGCCCTTGTGGAGGTTCCATTGTGATGGGAGGGGGGAGACCAACCTAGAAACATAACCAAACGAGGGTCATCTCAGGTAGTTCTAAGTGTTGTGAGGGAGTACTGCCAGGGGGTGGGGCAGAGTCCCATCAGGGGGGTGTCTGGCAGGCCTCTTGGAGGAGATGGCCAGAAAGAGTGGGAGAAGCTGGTTCTGGGAAGAATTGTGGCTCACTGGCCAGGTGGCTGACACCATCTCCCCTGATGCCTGAGACATGCCCCTTGCACCCACCTCACCCCTGTCCCCTTTTGCTCTCCGCAGGTTTGACATCTACAGGAAGGTGCCCAAGGATCTCACGCAGCCGACATATACTGGGGCCATTAGTGAGTAGCGTCCTTGCCATTGCTCCCCTCCTTCCCCCCCATCCCATACCTGGGTCTGCTCTCCCTATGCCCAGCTGCTGAGCCAGAGAGGAAAGGAGAGACGAAGAAGAGGAGAAAGGATGGGCATCTTGCCAGCCCTTCATAGTTCCTCATCTCATCTGTCCTCACCATAATGCTGTAAGGTATAGGCATCTTCTGTTTCTGGAAGGATATACCTGGAATCATCGGTAGTAATTGCCTCTGGGAGGAGATATGGGGGCTCAGGGATCATGGGGAGACTGACTTTTCCCTTTCATACCCATTAGGCTACTGGAGTTTTTGACACAAGCATGTTTTTACTCATTAAAAAAAAAAAAAAAAAAGAGTAATTGTACCAGATTTTGGTTTCTAAATGCCGGTCTTCAGTAAAAGGACCTAAGTGTCCTTGAAGAAATAGCCTAAGTGTCCTTGAAGAAATAGCTCATTCCAGGGCTGCGGCAGGAAGAGTACAGAATAAGCGTGGATCAGCTTGAGGCCAAAGAAAGCAAAGAAGCACCAAAGGAAAGAAAAGGCTGGAGGTACATTGACACAAAAGCAATAGGAAAGAGGTCCGAGACCAGCATGGGCAGTCTGAGTAACTTTCCTGTGGAGCTATGCAGAGATAGCACCTCAACCAAGTGATGAAAGTTGACATCAACCAGTGAGAAGTCTTGTGGGTGTCATGTACCCCCCAGTGGGATGTGATGGGAAGGGCACCTCACCTCCAAGGGATCATCACCCCCCAAAAAAGGACAAGCCTATTTAATCACAAGAAAACACCAGACAGTCCCCAGTTGGGGGACGTTCTACAATACACCTACCAGTACTCTTCAAAAATGACAAGGTCTTGGAAACCAAGGAAAGAATGAGGGACTGTGTCGATGGATTCAAGACTAAGAACACAGGAAGACTAAAGGCAAAGTGGAGTCCCAGGTCAGGTCCAGGAACTGAAAAGAAGCATTAGCAGGGAAACTGGTGAGATTTGAGTAACGTCTATAGCTTAGTTAATGGTGTGTTCAGGGTTAATTTCTTCATTTTGACAAGTGTGCTGTGGTTGTAGAAGATGTGTACAGGAGGAGAAGCTGGTTGAAGGGTGGATAGGAACTCTCTGTACTATCTGTGCATCTATTATTACTCAACCATGAGAAGTTGAGTAAAAACAAGCTAAAAGTGCCATGCAAGCAGGAATACTTTATAGCCTCATACTCTAGATGAGAAAGTGGGTCCAGAGAGGTGAACTGACTTGTCTGGGGGTTCATAGCCCTCAAAAGGTAAGCTTGCCTGACTCCCTCACCAGTGCTTGGTGTGGGAGAGAGACCCTCCCCATGGACTGTCCCGTGAGCAGGGCCCTGGGGCTGGGCAGTCAGGTTGGAATCCATTGCTACTTCCCAGGGTGCACCAGGGTCATGGGGATGACCCCACCTGGTCCCGCCCAGCCTTCCCTTATTGACGTTGTGGGTACCTTCTCCACTCCTGGGTCTCCACATCCCTGGGGAAGGGAATAGAGCAGCCAGGTAACAGGATGCATGTCCAGCAGGCTTCAGGTCTGGCAGAGCCGGGTTCATTCTCCCATCTAGTAGCTTGGTGGCCTGATCCTCAGTTTCCTGATCTGGGGAATAAATGAGTTCATACCTGTCAAGTGTGAGATATGTGCTGAGACCTCAGTGCTTGGACTACACTCTTCTTGTCATTGACCGCCAGGAGCCACCAGCCTGTGAAGGTCTGTGACAGCAAATGCTGTGACGCTTGGTGCCTGGGTCCCCAGAGAGGATATTCAAGGCACGTCAGAGGCAAGGAGCTTGTTCATTTATCTGTTCAACTAGTTTATGACCCTGGTGTCCTGTCCCCTTCCTCCCACCAACTAGGAGTTCAGACCTCTGCTTCACGGCCTCTAAAGTCTCACCCTTGTCAAGTGTGTGTAACAATCAGATCTGTATCCTCCTAGTATTTTTAAAGAATAAATGCAGGCTTTGGTATACCGATATCCTTGTTATAAGCAGAGATGGGAGCATACCGTCCATACCACTCTTCCCTGCCCTTTTTTCAGCTGACACATCCTGGACACCTTTCATACCGACACATAAATGGCCCACTACATTCTTCCCTCCTGATGTGTCTGGCAACCCACCATTGCCATCATCTGTGCGACCCATGGTTTATGTAACCAGTCTCCTGAGGGGTGGACATTCTTGATTCCCATTTATTGCTATTGCAGACATCCTTGTCCATATATTTTTATATCCTTGTATGGTTATTTCTGTAAGGTAGCTTTCCTAGAAGAGGAATTACTGGGTCAAAGGGTATGTGCGTTGTAAAATTTAGAAGGTACTGCCAGATGGCCCTCCAGGGATGTGGTCTGATTTGCAGCCCCAGCCACAACATGCAAGACAGCAAATTCCTTTACACAAGAGGGGAAAAGGCGTGAGGTCTGGGAAGCCAGCCCCTAGCTACTATTTTGTGAACAGAGTATTAACTGGGTCCTGGGTCCAGATCCCGTGCCAAGTGCCAGAATCATGTTGATGAAGGGGCTTTGGTCTTTGTTCTTGAGGAGCACACGGCCTCAAGGTTTGAATTCTGCCTCCTTCACTTACGTGGCCATTTGGCCTAGGACAGATTCCTTGACTTCCCAGAGTCTTAGGTCTTGGGTCCTAGGTCTTGTGTTCCCCTTTGCTCACAGCACGGTTTCCACTCACACATGCTCTCTAGGGGACACATTCCTAACGTCTACTGCTTGAGTCAGTTTCAGAAGAAGTCTGGTGTCAGAGAGCCCAAACAGAAGTCTGATGTTAGCTTCTTGCCCAAACATGGATGGAAAACCTTCATCAAGCCTTCAGTATCACAAAGGCCTTTCTGGCTGAAATACTTCCTACTTGCCTTCAAGTATGTTTTTCATTCATTCATCCATTCATTCAACAAATGCTTATTTCATGCCTCCTCTGAGCGAGGCACTGTGTAAGAACCTGAGGCCACAGTGATACTGAGTTAACATCTCTGTCCTCCTGGTATGGGTAAGTGGTAGGGTGAGTAGTCACAGAGCATGTATGATCAGGGCTATTGGACGCTTGGGTTTCAGCTGAGCAGACTCTGGACTTAACAAGTGTCTACCTGCTGGGTTGACTGGCCTTGAACGGAGCACAGATTCCCAAAAGGAGCCTTCCATCCCTGTCCCACCACTTCCAATCTGGATGGAGTTAGAACTTTGGGGCCTCTTTGCAGGGTTGGGTGGGGCAAGGAAAGCAGTTAGAAGAGCTGGATTGGCCTAAGTCAGCATTAACCTTCAGAAATACCTCCCTATTTTGTGACTGTTCATTACATCATTCAGTGGGTTGCTGGGGCTTGAGAGTAGTTTGGGAGGGGTGAAAGTGATCCTGGAATGTGGGTCCTACATAATACTGGAAGATTACAGGGGAAGGGTGTTTTCCCTGGCAGTGGGACTCTTTATCAGGCATCATAGCTGCAGTTTGCAGGTGAGAAAGGAAAGGACATGAGCCAGGAAATCGGGATCAGTGGCTGCAGGAGTGCAGGGGATTTATCCAGCAGCTGGAAAGACATTTGAAATTAGTTTCTAAAAGCAAGGAAACATCCCCCCTCCGTATAAACTGATGTGGCATGTATTTAGAGATAGGTTGCTGAGGAGCAAAGCATGGTTGAAAAGGATGTATACATTATACTGTTGTTTTCGTAGAGAAAAAAGGGATTTGTACATCTATGCTTAAACAACTGTAGAAGGATGTGAGACCATAATGCTGATACCTCTGGGCAGGGGTCTGCAGATGAAGAGAGACTCACCACACTGCTTTTTTATGTAACTTGACTATTTTTCTTATCATGTGCATGTATTACTTCTTCTGAGAAGAAAAAAAAAGAGTGAAGCCGTTTAATACTGCCCCATATAGCTTTTTCAATGTTTGAAGAATTGAAGAGTCATTCTAGGATCCCATGGGTTGGTCTAGTTTTAGAGGTGTGTGGGGGGGACTCTGGGGATGTCCCTGTCTTGCTTTTCACTTGGAGTCCTAGATCTTGGGGTTTCTTTTCTTAGGGCATTGCCTCTAGAATTCACTTGTCCCAGGCTTGTGCCCCCATCTGCCTTCCAGTGTGTTCCTGGACCCAGTGTCTTACTCTCTGAGCCTCCATTTCTACATAGTTCACAAGGACATGTGCCCCGTCAGGCAGGAATGTGAGATGACAGGGTGGCTATTCATGCTACTACCGCAGGGCATGATGTAGTAGGGGCCCAGCAAACATTTGTCCTCTTCCTTCTTCACTCAGAATTAATCTTTGTTCATTTTAAGGTAGGTAGGTAGGTAGGTGGATGGATGATAACTGGTTTCAGAGTTTACCACAGTGCTCAGCTAGTCCAGGAGCAGGCTGTCAAGAAGGTAGCAGAATCAGCAAGTGGGACCAGGAACTTTTTTTCTTCATAGGAAAGTAGAGGTCACCCCATTTGTCAGTTCCCAAGCCCTCCAAGGTCTCCCTGATGAAAGTTCTAATAATAAATGAATGCTCAAGCCTTTATTACCTGCCAGGCACTATTTCAACCCTAGTGTCTGTGTTGTGGAAATTCAGAGCAGCCCCATAAGGCATGTGGCCATTTAACAGATGAGGAAACGGAGGCTGGGATTGGTGAGCAGCTTACCCAGAGACGCACAGCAGCTGAGCTGTGGACCATACTTTGTAAGCCCTTGTCTGCTGCATGCCTCTGTGATAAGCCCAGAGGAGGTGTGTTCAGCTCTCATTCCATACTCTTGGTGGTGACTCCCTCCTGTGTGCCGAGCTCCGGGCTAGGCATTGGAGCTGTGGAGTTTCTGCCTTCAGGGATAGCGGGTTAATGAGAGAAGCAGCCACAAATAGCCAATAAAATGTGGAAAGTGTGAGAATAGATCCTAGGAACACAGAGGAAAGAGTGACCAGCTCCACCTCTCAGGGTGAGGGGAACTTCCCACCAGAAAAGATGTTTGAGCTGGGCCTTGGCCTGGGAGGACAGAGAGAGGTTCCCCCCTCCCAGAGAAGAGAGGAACAGGGAGGAAAGGGGGAGGTAAGATGGGAGGGGCAGGAAACGCAGGAACAGCAATAAAACACATATTGCATGCGGCTCAGTGTGGCTGGGTGGTTAGATATGGAGAATGTATAAGGAGATGGGGCTGGAGTTGAGGAAGATCCTGGGGCACTTGTTGTCTTGCCCCCAGGAGTGGCTCCAGGGGTCACAGATTTCGCCCTTGTCAGGGGCCCAGCAGACAAGATAAATATGAGTGATGTGGGCCAACTCTGGAGCCCTTTTCCAAAACTCCCTGCATTTCAGACTTGTATAAAGAATTCATTCCATAAAGAACTGTCCCTTCTCTTGAAGCCCAAGTGCTCGGTTATCCTCATTTTCTGACCTCTGTTGAAGACGTGGGCACAGGGTGATGGTGCCACTGGGGGTGGCAGTAGATGGCGAGAGACACTCAGCCTCAGCCTGGGAATCAGGGAGGCAAGAGGGAGTGGTGGGGCCTTTGACAGACTAGTGAGCTCAGACCCTGTGTGGGAGCAAGGGCTTGAGTGTTGTGGAGCAGCCAGCAATCTGACCTTTGATGTGAAATCAGATTGTTCAGTGTGAACTGCAGATTTTAAAATCCCTACCACTTTTGCCGAACAGGACACATTTGTGGGCTACCAGTTTACAACCTGTTTTTGACTGACCTCTGCATTAATATACTTTTGTGGAAGGAAGCCAGGCTGGCCCCCGACTGAGGACCCGCCTGAGTGGGGGGGGGGCATAGTCCCCATAGGAAGGTCAACTTAGTACCTAAGGTGGTCTACAGTTTCTGGGAGCAGGGCTGCTTCTACTAAGAAGGGGCTTTGGGGTGATTGGTGTGGCCTCTCTCCCCCTCCCTCTAAGCAGCTTTCCTAGAGGCAGGGGAGGGGGAAGAGAGGGGAGGGGTGGAGAGGACCCAACCCCCTTCCACCAGTGCCCTCCACCCTTAACAGTGCATCTCTGTATTGTTCCTTCCAGTTTCTATCTGCTGCTGCCTCTTCATCCTCTTCCTCTTCCTCTCGGAGCTCACCGGATTCATAACAACAGAAGTGTAAGTTTCATTCCCCCTCAGGGGGCATTCTAGAGTGTTCTTGACACCCCAAGCCAGAGGAGGGAGGGGCTTTAAAAAGGCGAGAGACCTCTAAACCTTCCAACTCTCATTTCCAAGCCCGTGGCATCCTTCACTCCTCTATTTCTTAAAAGGGTATTGAAGTTAGAGTAAAAGCAAACACTCGTTGAAGCTAAAGAGAACATTTGGGTTCTGTTTTGGGAGGAGGCGGGGCTCCTGGGTCCTCAGATGAACAGAAATCACGGACCAGCTCTGCCTTCCCTTTGTTTGGCCAGTGGGCTTTTTTTTCCTTCTGAATCAGCGCAGGGTCATTTGATGTGAAAGCTGGAGGAGTTCAGAGAAACGATGCAGCTTCCTACCAGAGAGGGGTGGGGTTGCTGACATCAGAGCCTGGTTCCCTCACCTAAGCCCCCTTCCCTGCTCGGAGGCCCATACTCAGTGAGGAATCAGCGTGGGCTTCCTGGCAGTGCCTGACGCATTGTGAATCGATCTCTGATTTCTAGAATAATCCGTTGCCCAGATAACCTAGTAAATGCTCTGGGGTATGTGTAACACAGAATGCCATTGGGATTATTCAGTCACGACCTCATTGGCCGCCCTGAGGTGGAATTAGACCCCAGAGCTTCCTGCCTTGGTCACTGGCTCAAGGCTTCCAAGCCTCTTCATTCCTGTGTTTACAACTCAGAAAGTCATCGTGGGGCTGGGCCCTGGCCACCCACTCCTCTGTCCAACACTGGAAGTTTCTTTCTCACTCATGGAATTTCTTGATTTCCTTTGTTTCCCTCTCAGCCACAAGACAATAAGGAACAAAAAACATAGCTGCTTAGTCCAAGACAGGCCTGGTAGCTGTGTAAGTGTTACCACCTTTAATCCTCCAGCAACCCCAGGAGGTAGTTATCTCCGCTTTACAGATGGGGAGAACTGAGGCTCAGAGAGGTGGAGGGATCTGGACAGATCTTATCTTCCTCCACCACCACATGCCTGCCAGCCCATTTCTGGATGTAGCCTCCTGCCTTCCACTACTATGAGACAGTTTGCCTTCCCTGTCACTCTGATCCTATTTTTAACCCTGATGACACCAAAGCCCAGGGGATCTCATGGAGTGGTAAGAAAGAACTTTGGACAAAGCATTGGGAGACCTAGGGGTAGGTCTCTGCTCAGTGACCACTTTGCTGTGTGACCTGGACAGGTTGCCAAACTTCTCTGGCTCTTAGGATTGCTGGCCAAACAAGGGAGGGTATACCAGAGTCAAAGCTTCCAGGTCTGAGGAGGCTCGTGTGCTTTCCAAGATATGACTCCCTGACCATGCAGGGGTCAGAGAAGGTTCTTTGTCCCATTCGACTCCTAATGGGGGGTGGCTCTGTGTACATTTGGGCCACTGGATGTCTCAGAGGTCACACCATCATGATTTGGAGTTGGAAACAGGGACAGCAGGAAGATATTGAGACCTACTGTGTGCCATACACCTGCTGGTCTTTCTAGGCTGCACCCCATTCTCTGGGGAGGTGATATTCTGATATTCTGAGCAGGGTGAATGGGGCACATGTGTGACAACAAGCAGGGAGCCCCAGCTGGGGCACCAGGGAGGCTTTATGTATTCTAGACAGTGCCACTAGGAAGTGCAAAGGCCCTGTGGTAGGAATGACCTGGCATATGTGCAGAGCAGATAAAGAGTTGGTGTGGCTGGAACAGAATGAGCAAGTAGAGAGAGTATGGAGTAGGTAAGACCAAGTTGGGGTAGGTCCTGCACGCTGTTGTGTATTAACAGGTCTCATTCTTGGTCCTGTGCTCCCAGAAGTCAGAAACCAGGTCTGCCTCATTCATTTGCTGTCTGGTTCCTTGCTCAGAGAGAAGCTGAAAATGCCAACAGTGGACGCAGGCCATGAACAAGTGAACAGAACTAGAATATATGAATCAGTAAAAAAAGGTTCTGATGAAAAAAAAGCAGGGCAGGAGACAGAGAAGGTATATGATATTTGGTGAGGTTTAAACAAGATTATTTGCCAGAAGGTGCTTAATGTAGCACCCAATAATGCTTTAATATCCATGGATCCATAGCTCTTCATTCATTGATTTATTTCATATTTATTTTCCATCCAATGCTAAAAAGGTTGTAAGACTGCCCAGCGCCTGGTGTATAAGGAACATTCCATGATTGTTAATTTTCTTGTCCCCTCCCCTGAGCTGAGATCAGCCTCCCTCACCTCCCGCTGATATTGTGAGGGGCACCTGATTTAGCTCTTTGTCAGCTTAGCCCACAGTGAGATAGGGTGCTGAGACAGCGGGCCCCAGACAGGTAAGTTGTGATGTCAGAGCTTGGGACTGGAGCAGGTGAGGTCCCGTGTGCTGTGTTAAGGGCCCCTCAAGCAAGCCTGGACAGCTTGTTCTGCTTAAAGGACAGGGCTCCCTCCTTTCCCAAGAGCACAGCGTATTCCTGTTACTGTGCCCAATGCTCTGCTCCAGGATTTCCCCTTCCTGACTCCTGGGGGCATCCTGGACACTCTGGTCCCAGGACCTCCCTGGAGAGGAAGAAAGATGAGGCGTGAGTAGAGACCGAGGTGAGTATCAGACCATAGGGCCGTTCACGGTGTGTTCACCTTTTGTCTTCTGCTAAGCTCTTCATTTGCCATGTGAGTGGCTGGAGGGAGGGAAGGAGGCAGGAATGAGAAGAGAGACCTGTTGGGAGCCCAAGGGCAAGAAGCTCCATCCGTGACATGCAGTGACCCTAATGGCCCTTCTCTCCCTGTTGCCACGTGACCACGGTGCAGGAGTGCCCAGAGGAGTCTGTAGGGGTGAGGACTGAGGACTCCACAGAAAAATCCAGAGGAGAAAGGATTGTTCCTGGTCTTCCCTCTATAAGAAGCTTCTCTGACCTTGGGAAGGCCTGCCAGTTTGGAAAGAAATGAAGGTCACAATTCTTTAATGGATGGCTGACCCTCCCTGGCAGTTTGTGACCACAGTGGTTCAGCTCCCCGCCCCTCACCCCCCACCATGAGATTGTATCCCAAGGAAATGAGGTCACTGCTGGTAGGATCAACATTGCTCCAACCCGGACCTGTGGTTATCACTGACATAAGACACTATTCTGGCCCAGCTCAGTGGGAAAGGAGGCCTGTTGGTTTGGGCAGTTGGACTCTAACCTGGGCTTTAGACAGGCCACTAATTACCCTTGGGAAAGTGGCTCCATAGGGTGCTCTGCAGCCTCAGGGTTCCAGGGGAGCAGGCCCCCCTCCTCAGAGAATGTGGCTACAAAACTTTCCACCTTTTGACTGCCCAGGCTTGGCCACTCTTAATGATTAACCCAGCGAGGATTTATAATAAGAAAATGTAGTGACTGGAACTCTCCATTGATAATTTATAGTACAATACAATGTATTATACTTTCTATTTACAATTTATAATGGGGACACACATACCAGCCAGCCTTCTAGGTTAGCACTTTACAGTGATCATCTTGTTTAACCAATACAGAACCCCTTATGGTAGGTTCTCCTGTTAGCCTTAGCCTTACTTTACATCTGGAGAAACTGAGACACCAGGAGGCTCAGGCCACAATGAGGTAAGTGGTGGAGCCAGAGTCAAACCCAGGTCCATCTGATGCCAGAGCCCAGCCTCGGCACCCCTGCCCTGTCATACCACCTTTTTCTTCTCAGAGCATGCCTAGGTGCATGGGAACAGATGCTTTTTGGTCAGAATGTTTGACTGGAAGACTCGATTACACCCTTATAGGGTGAGGTGGCCGAGCAGGCGGTCAGAACTCCAGGTAGCCATTGCCCACCTAGCAGGAGCCTGAACTGTGTCTTCACGTGCTCCAAAGCAGGCCCCGAAATGGGGAGGCCAGTAGCTTAACCAGGAGGAGGACCTGGCCATCTCCCTGAGAGCCCAAGTCACCCTCTCTGAGGCCCAGGTTGGGAGCTAGAGGCGGGTAGAGAGACCCAGGGTAGTTGTGTGAAGGAGTGCTGGCAAGCCTGGAGGTTTCTGAGCCCGGAGTGACTGGACCAGGTTCATGTTGCAGCAAGATCACCTCTTGTGAAGATGGAGTGAGGGCCAGGTGACCCTGGAGACCAAGGCCTGGTGAGGAGACTGGGTGATGGTGGTAGAGAAGGGGGTGGGGCAGGACTCAGTGGCTGAGAAGGGACTTTTGGCCCTCCACCTGGGAGGGAATAGGTAAGAATACTTACTTATACCTGGAGCGGTCAGAATTCAAAAGAAGGTCCTGGAGAGCTTGCTTACATAATGTGCATCCCTCCCCTTCCACCCCACGCCCTTCCGTGGGCCTCACTGCTGTGTAAGTTTCCATTAAATCAAATTATTAAGCACGGAGGTCAGCGACTTTGGGCAGGAATCTGAACTATTCAAGTGCTCTTCTAAAAGCAAATAAAATTGTTTTCCATAGATGTCATCGGACTCACGCCTCAGCCTAGAATTTCAGGGCCCTTGGTTACATTCCTCCTGTGCTCCCCCCACCCATACCTCCCTAGTTCCTCTCTCTCTCTCTCCCTACATGGCCACTGCTTACTGACCCCCACGCAAGCCAGCCAACTTCCTGACACTGTGTTGTGTGCCCCAACTGGAATGTGCCCCCCTCTCCTCCACCGGCACACACTGGTTACTTCCCCCATTTATTCAAGGGGTTGTGATCTCATGCTCTGTGCTCCTGTCTCAGGGAGCCCTCGACCCAGTGTCCAGGTAGGTTGGGGGGGTCAGAGGTGGCAGCCCTCCAGGGCTGATGGTACCAACTCAGCAGATGGAGGGCACAAAGGGAGTGGACCCTTTACGTCTCCATGCCCTGTGGGTACTTGGTTTACTTGGGCCGTGGGTGGGGATGGGGTGGTCATCTGAAGATTATCAGATGATGACACTTGCATCACAGGTCTACCTGGGGACACTTGCCTCTCAGTTTTCACTGATTCCTTGCCCCAGCCAGTTTAATGCAATGGAAAGAGCATGGCTCTGGGTTCCTAGGGCTCCAGGTTCAGATG